TATATTAATTTATATTATATATATAATAATTAGATACACATTTTATATATATATACACATAATAATATCTGTTTTTTTTTTTTAATTCAAGGGTACAAGATTTGAAGAATTATATATTTTTACGTGTAAAAGAGATTGGTAAAAATTCTTTTCGTTAAAAATAATTTAAAAGAAGAGAAGGAGAACTCGGAATTCTTTCTGTATATTTCTTATCGATTATTCGACTTCTACTTTGGTATTTATTCATCGTATTGGACCATTAAACTTCTTTTCGATTTTTTCTAGATTGAAAGAAAGAGAGAAAAAGAGAAGAAAGTTATTTCTTATTTTTTTTAAATATAAAACTGCTCGACCCGATTACGCTTTATCTCATACCGCTTACGTTAAACGTAAACCATCGGAGCTTATCGGTCAAAATCACCATCAAAGACACTCTACTATGGAGATTTCCCACATTCTGATCGATATCGCGGCGGCTTACACATATGGTCCCGTTGCGTACTCTTGCTTCGGTAGAGATAGCAAAGTTTAAAGTTTCCTTTCGCGATTCGAATCCCCCAGCCTCCACCTTTCCGTTCCCACGAGTCGGGATTCCGTTCTTTCGTCGTTTCCGTCCGCGTTTCTCCGCCGTCGTCCCCGACGAGGCGGAATGGAGAGTATCGTCCTGTGTAGTCAGCTTCTGACTTTCGTTTATCTTTTCTTGCGACCGAGCCATTCTGCGAAGAGCCACCATCCGTCCTGCGCACCTCCTTCTACTTGTCCAATCTACTTTTCCTTTGCTTACCGTACTTGTATTTGTTCGTGTAAGTAGATTTGCGCTAGTAATTTTGTTCCAATTTAACTTAGTTCGTGATTATTCGTATTTCCGTTCGATGGTAACGGTAATATTGGAATCGCGGAAAGAGAAACCAGATCGTAAATCCCACTATCAAAAAATTGCATGATTCAAATTGATATTTAAAAGTTGATTCCTTAAAAAGTAAAACATAGCGACGATATTCGCAGATATATATATATATATATATGGA